CCGTCTTAAGATCCTTAACTTGGTTGACAGCTGCGCCATCCACGGTGCCGTATAAGGGAGTGTCCACAGGTCCCAGGGCCCACGGCCACTACCCCGCAGGGGTCCCTCCCCAGCCTATCTCGGGGATGCCTCCAAGCCATTGAGCGCTAGTGAGTGTCTGGGAGAAGCAGGTCTGGTGGGGGGGGGGAGGGAGGTGTGAGACTGTTCTGGGCCAGGGGGGTTTTGTCTTTGGCTGGAATCTGCTTGCGATCAACCGAGGGGTGGAGAGCTGGAGGGGAAAGTGAGTCTTCTGGCCCTGGAGGAACTGCTTTAGCAGAGGCGGCGTCCCTCCTCTTCTCCAACTGCAAGTCACCACACACATCCACTCAGGGTTTTGCTGACTACGCAGGAGGCCCAGGCTCGATCCCTGCCACCGGAAGGACCCCTGAGCACAGCCAAGTGGGGCCCTAAAACACACCCCCCCTTTCCCCAGGAAAGGGCCAAAGATGGTTCAACAAATTATGCACATGCGCACGAGGGAAGCCAGGGTTCGATTCCTGACAGTGCTTGGGCCCCACAAGCTCACAGCCAGCACTAGGTTCCCACGCACCTCTGGGCGTGGCCCTCAAACCAGAAAAGACACAATTGGTATGGAGCTATTTCCGTGGTGTTAGCATGGCAGGGTGTCTCTGCTGGAGCAGTTGGTGCTCCGAGAACAGTGCTCCTCCACGAAGGCCTCCAGGGCCTAGGGGATTTACCGCGACCTCTCCCAGGCAGGAACTACCCGAGTAGCTTACTGGTTTCAGAGGTGTTGCTGGTCATCCTGGCCACAGCAGCACCAGAGGGCTAACGGCCGGAGGACCTGCCCCACGTGGGGTCACACGCAAATCCTGGTTTCTGTGTTGGCGGGAGGGGGCATGCACACACTGGGCGTGCACGCATCCTCTTGGCATCTGTCCATTGGGAAGAGGCCAGGAGCGACACTCGGCATCCTCATACCAGACAGTCCCTGCCCAGCGTTATCGCCCAGCCCCGGAGGACTGGAGTTTTGGGGCTCAGAGGGCCTGTGTGTAGAAGTGGGGGCAAAGAAGGCAGAAGGAGTCAGGAACAGGTTTACTTAGGAATGAAGAGAAAATGAGTAAAAACACACCCTGCTCGGGAGGATGGAGCAAGGCAAAGGACCATGCACCTCACACACCACACACACACACACACATATACACACACACACACACACACCCTCCCTTGCTTATTGAGGAAAGAGGAGGGCAAAGAGGAGCGTTCGGGATCTGTGATCGTTCTGGGTCCTCGCACACTTGATAGCCCTGGTGTGAGGAGGGGCTGGCGACCAGCAATGCGTGCGGCGTGGCCTGTAGTGTGGCTTCTATGGCGTAGCCTGCACGGTGTGGTTTACGTGGCGTGGCCTATAGGATGTGGCCTGCGTGGTGTCACCTACATAGCATGGCCTGTGTGGCGTGACCGGGTCAGCACGGCCTACATGGATGGCCCATAGGATGTGGCTTGTCTGGCACATCCTGCACAGTGTGATCACGTGATGTGGCCTATAGACGTGGCCTGGACAGCATGGCCTAGGTGGTGTGGCCTGCATGGCGTGACCGACACGGTGTGGCCTAGATGGCGTGGCCTGCATGGGGTAGCCTAGATGGTGTGGTCTGTATGGTGTTGCCTAGACGGTGTGGCCTGGATGATGTGCTCTGCATGGTGAGGTCTGCATGGTGTGGCCTAGATGGCGTGGTCTGCATGGCATGGCCTAGATGGTGTGACCTACATGGCGTGGCCTGGATGACGTGGCCCGCACGGTGTGACCTAAATGGTGTTGCCTTCAAGGCATGGCCAGCTTGGTGAGTGGCGCCTGGGAGTGCGGAGCTGGCCTGTGTCCCTCCCGTCAGAGCAGCTGCCAGGAGGCCCCTGGGGCCACTCTCCCGTGGGGGCAGTGCCAGCAGCTGGCGGGAAGACCAGGGGCCCGGCAGAGGACAGGAGAGCCGGGAAAAGCCCTTCTCGACGGCGCCTGGGTTGCTAATAATGAGGCGGAGAGAGGCATGAGGCAGCTTCCCCGACACCCGGGAGCCTCCGCGGTCCCCCGGGACCCTCCCCCGAGAACGTGAAGAGCTGTGTCACTGCTGGGCGGTGCGCATTTGGTAATGGTGTCAGGAGAGCTGTGGAGATGACAACACGGCAGGACAGGTCTGAGGCTCTGAAGACTGGGCTCAAAGGCAAAGGGGGCTGTGGGTGCTGCAATTCACCACACAGATGCCCAGAGCTGTGAGCCTGACGATTCCCCACCCTCGCGGAGGTGAAGGCTGGGTCCTTGTGCCGTGGGCTGCAAGCCAGGAAGAAATCGGTTCGGAAAAACATTTCTGGGGGGCAGGGATGCGGCCCGTGTGTGTGTGTGTGTGTGTGTGTGTGTGTGTGTGTGTGTGTGCGGTCCTGAATTCAATCTGCAAAAAAGGGGGGGAGGGGAAGAATAAAGAAAGAAAAAGGAATCTGATAATATGTGACCGATGATAAAAATTAAGCCTTCACAAGAAAAATGAAATCATTAAAAAGTTGTGTGGATCTGACATCTTTCTGTATTTGAAGTCTTTCCTTTTTCTTCTCTCTCTTTTTCCCTTTTTTCTTTTTTTGTGGGGGTGGGGGCACACCCGGTGATGCTCAGGGGCTACTCCTAGATCTGCACTCAGGAATTACTCTTGGTGGAGCTCGAGGGGACCACATGGGACGCTGGGAATTGAAACGGGATTGGCCGCGTGCAAGGCAAAAGCCTTACCCGCTGTGCTATGGTTCTGGCGCCTACATGTGAAGTCTTTCCTGGTGTATCAGTGGAGAGATTAATGACTGTGACTTACTGACCGTGTAAAATGAAACGCCAATCATTATAAGATTTATATAACTCGGTGCAATCGATACTTTCCAATGACCCAATTTAAGTAAAAGTTTCATTCAAACCACAATACTGACAGATGGATTTTAATGTCACAAAGTATAAAAGGTTTCTTAATACAGTTTCGGACTCCACACTCCAACTAACCCTTGAGAAATGGCTACAAGGGAGAGATAGTACAGGGGGTAAGGCCCTGGCCAAGCTCACAGCTTACCCTGCTTTGATTTCAAGAACCTCCGAGCGCGGCCAGAAGTGATTCCCTGAGCACAGAGACAGAAGTAAGCCCAGGGCCAAAACCCAATAAACAAGTCAATAAAACGGACTTCAAAATAAACCCACTCTCAGGGACGGAGCCAACAGTACGGTGGGTAAGGTGCCTGCCTTGCATGCAGCAGACCCGGATTTGATCCCCCGGCACCCCATGGGGCCCCCGAGCACCGCCAGGAGTGATTCAGGAGTACAGAGCCAGGAGCAACCCCTGAGCATCTCCAGGTGTGGCCCCCAAAACCAAAATAAAACAACTCTCATTTTTTCTTTCTTTCCTTTTCTTTCTTTAGTTTTTGGCTGGCAACCTGCAGTGCTGGGGCTGACTCCCAACGGTACTGGGGAGGGGGGGCCCCACGCTCCTGGCACAAAGCCCTCCAGGGAGCGTCCCCGGCTCCGACACCAGCTCTCCCTCACGGCCCAGTCCCACGGCCAGCTTCTTCAGTGCCGACCAGCACCCACCCGCCTTGCACGCCCGTAACACTCGAAACCCCTTCGTGTGCATTTCCTCTCGCGCCAGAGGTCTGGCGTGTGTGTCCCAGCCCCGGCCCCGGCCCAGCAAGAAGGGAATGCCACAGGGTTTTTCCGAGTTTGGGTTTTTTTTTCTGGTCCTGCTACGGTGGGAACAAAAGCAAGGCTGCACCAGCCTCGGGGCCACCTCCCCAGCAAAGGGTCCGTTTTCTGAGCTGAACAATGAAAAATTCTGATGAATGGCAAAGCCTCACCTTTGCGGGTGGGAAGGAAGGGCCCCCCCCCCCCCCCACACACACACACCTCCTGGCCCACAAGCTGAGACAAGGGGCCAAGGCTCAGGGACCAGCCAGACAAATGGCCCTAGGATGCAAGTAAGAAAGCCATCATGTAGGGGGGAGGGATGGGGCCTCCTCAGCCCTCCGGGGACCACAAAAGCCCCTGGTACCCCCCTTCTTCCTCTGACACACACACACACTGTGCGCGCGGGGAACCCGCTGGGCAACAGGAAAGCCGCCGCGGAGGGTTCAAGGCGGAGAAAGGGAAGCGCAGCCCGTAAACAGCGGCGGGAAGCAGAGGACTTCAGAGATTCCACCCCATATGGCAGGATCCCCAGCTTTCCCTGGCCCCCCGCGGGGACCCCACCCTGGCCTGGCCTCCCGACAGCTGGGACAATGAACCTCCAATCCCCCCGCTGCTGCTCCCGCACGGGGAGTTCCTATAGCCCGCCCCACTGGGCATCCTGAGAACACAGGGAAGGGGTCACAGGGTGTCCAGAGCACCGCCCGGGGCCTGGGGGGGAGACCCCACCGCCCCAAATACTGATGGAGGAAAACGAGTTCTCAGCCTTCATGTCTACGGCGTGCCCGGAGGCTGAGATGCGGACAAAGCTGGTCCCAGCCAGCACCACCGTCCTGCGCCCCCCGTGGACAGGACCCAGAGAACATCCACTTCATGCTGGTGCAAAGGAAGGAAACTGGGTGGGGGGTGGGTGGGGGGTGGGGACGGCCACAGCAGAAGACGCACACAGAGGTGGGGAAGGGGCCCACCCCAATCACGTCACTGATGCAGCACCAACTGACCGAAACATCAATCCTCCCCGCCCCCAGAACGGCCAGGGGTCGCTCCTGAGCTGCTCCAGCCCCCTCCCCAAATACAGAAGATGATGGGGGGGGCCATCTCTGCGGCCCGGCAGCCCTGTGGGCAGGGAAGGAAATCTGGTCACTGGTTATTCAACCAGTTATTCATCCAGCGCCTCTGCACTGGTCACTGCCCCCAACAGGAAGCAAAGCCGGCCCCTGCCCGGGGAGGGGGGGTCGCTTTCAGGGGTGAGCACCCGAAGTGCTCCGTGAAAGTGTCAGCGGCTGGGGGGGGGCAGGATTACCTCTCGGGTGGCCTGTTCTCATCTGTGGGTGCGCAGGAGTCGCCGCGTGAGTGCCCGGTGCATGCCCCCAACGCCGCACCACCCTGCGGGAGAAAAACAGAACCCACAGCGTCAGCCAAGGGCGCCCGGGCAGCCGGTCCCTCCAGCGCCCCGGGACACGCTACCTGGCCCCCCCCTGCACCCCGGCTGACAGGCGGAAGGTGAATGAGGGGGCCCATACCCCGACATGCACCAGTTCCTCCACGGGGCTGCTCTGAGCAAGCAAGTTCATGGACGTGAGACCTGAGGTGTGCCCGCGTCACCAGGCACACCTGACCCCAGGGCCGGGGGTTGCCTCCTCCCAGCTCTCCTGATGCCCCTCAGTGACAAGCGGCTGTGACAGGGGCTCGTCCACCAGGGCCCAGAGCCACAGCGCCACGGCAACTGGACAGCACCTCCCAGGACACATGCGTGAGCCTGATGGGGTCGAGCCCGTGGAGGGAGGACGATGACGCGTGTCCCCAGTACGGAGGTGACGGGCTGGAAGGCAGCTGCTTGGCGTGTGCAGACCCTGGAGAGGGGCCAGAGGCCACACTACTTCCTGGACAGCAGGGGACGCCCGAGAGAAGACACCGGCCCTGCAGCTTCCAAAGTGGCGGGTCCAGCGCCCCACTGCATAAGCTTCATCAGGACCGTCCCAGGAGGGGCCAACGCAGCTGGACTCAAGGCGAGGCAGAAGCCCAGGGCCGGGTCTGATCCCCGGCAGCCCTTACAGTCCCCCAGACACCACCAGGAGTGATCCCTAAGTGCAGGGCCAGGAGCCAGCCCTGAGCACCGCCAAGTGTGACCCCCAAAACAAAAACACATCACCAAAGGAGAGGGACAGTGATGTCTGGGCTAGGGCCCAGGTCTGACTGTGCTCGGACCAGGCCCTTGGGGAAGGGGAGGTTAAGGTTGGAGCCGGTGAGGGAGGAGACCAGGTCAGGGACCGCTCTGTCCACCCCTGGCGTGTGGCCACTCTGCAAACACCCCTGGATGGGGGCCGGAGCGACAGTCCAGCAGGGAAGGCTCTGGCCTGGCAGACAGCAAACCCAGGTTCCATCCCTGGCACCACTTAGGGTCCCTTGAGTTGCACCAGGAGTAAGCCCTGAGCACAGTTGGGTGTGGTCCAAAATGAGAACAGAAGAGAGAGAGAGAGAGAGAGAGAGAGAGAGAGAGAGAGAGAGAGAGAGAGAAATGCGTTTCTAAGGCCAGGGAAATAGTACAGGGGTTGGGGGGACTTGTGCTGCACATGGGTGACCCCAGCCTGATGCCCAGCCCTGTGTGGTTCTCTGAGCAGCTGAGGGAACAACCCCAGAGCACTGAGCTGGGAGCTGCCCCTAAGCACTGCCGGGTGAGAAAATACGGGAGAGAGATGGTACGAGGGTTCGAGTACTTGTCTTACAGGCGGCCAACACCATATATGCCCCCTCTTCCCCCAGCGCCGTCAAAAGTGATCCCTGAGCAATATTAGGGTGTGCACAAACAAGAAACTCCAAATATAAATAAAATCCCTGAATGGGATCCAAAGATAGTACAGGGAGTAATACAGTACGCAGGGCCCATGCCTAGCACGTGAGCAACTTGGGTTCAATCCCCGGCACTTCACAGGGTCCCCTGAGCTCTGCCAGGAGTGCAGAGCCAGGAGTAAGGCCTGAGCACTGCTGGTTGTGGTGCAAAAACAGAAAGAAAAAAAAACAACAAAAAACCCTGAACGAAACCACGGTCACTGCTGGTCATGTCTGCAGGAGCGGTCACACTGCAGGAAGCTCTCGGTCGGGGTGTGGGCTCCTGGTGGCTCTACAGGCCTGAGCTGACCCCTGGGCTCTCCCCCCTCACCCCACGGCAGGGCAGCAAAACTGCTCAAGTCCCTGGGGGCCAGAGACTGGACGCCACTTCCTCCGAGGTATCACCCGAGCTTCATCCACACTTCTCAGGAGCAGGGAATCCCCTTCTGGTCTATTCTGCCCAGAGCCCCCTGACCCACCTACGGGCGCGGCTCAGGGCTGCCGGTGGCCACCCCCCGACTGTCCTCTCCCAGAAAAGGGTCAGCGCTCAGGAGGGTTCCAAAACGCCAAGTCCAGTCGGGCTGGTTCAGCTGGAACTCCACCAAGCTCCCGGGGATTGCCAAGGCCGAGCGCGCTCCTGGAAAGAGACCTAGAAACCTGGGCCTAGACGGGCCACAAGCATCGCGGCCTCTTTCCGGGCACCTGGCTGGGTCCTGCTCTCAGAAGCCTCCGGGACCCGACTCAGGCAACCAACTGAGGGGCTGTGAGTTCTTTCCTTCCTCAAAGCCTCTCCAGGGGACCCACCGGCAAAACAAACAAGTGCAGCTTCGGCCAGAAGTTGAAAACCCAGGACAAACCACAGAGGCGATGGGCTGGGCAGGCCCAGAGAGAAAAGCATCCTGCGGCAGGGGGCCTCATCCCTTAGGGGCGATAACAGGGCCAAGGGATGTCCCTCTGGCTGCAGCCCAGGGCCCAAGCATCCCAGGAAAACGCACAAGCCCGCATCAGAGCCACCAGCCCCGCGTGCCATTGGTCAGAGAGGGTGAGGGCACATCGGCAGCAGGCTGCAGCCACCAATGAAAGGGACAGACGCTGGCCAGCCCCAAGGCTATCGGCTGGCAATCTATTTCAAAACTCAAACAAGGGGGAGAAAGAAATTCTGGAGGCAGTACAGAGGGGAAAAGGTTGAGGACCACAGGCATGCGGCAGTGGGGGGGGGGTGGGGGGGACGGGGAGGTCAGCTGCTGGAGACTTCTCTCCGGTTCTCTGGTTGGGAAGGGGGGAGGGGGAGGAGGAGGGAAGGAGGGCTGGAGCGGGCAGCCCATGGCACGGTCCTGGGATGGAAGGACGGTCCTGGGCTGGAAGGACGGGGCCCAGTTTCCTGGAAGGGGATCCTGCCGGCGGAACGAGGCCTCCAGCTACCCCTGGCGCGCGCCCAAGCCCGCGGCCAACCTCTCTCCAAGGGTTCCTGGAAGTCGGCAGACCCGCGATGGGGAAGTCTGCGGGCGCGGGGGGAGCAGCCGCGCGCTCCTGATGCGCAACCCTGGCCCCTGCAACGGAGGGGGGATCGGGGGAGCGGCCCAGCAACGGACAAACAGACAGACGGACGGACGGACGGACGGAGGGACATTTCCAAACAGCCGGCAGGCGACCCCCGCCCTGCCCCATCGACCGACCCCCAACCTCCGCAGCAGGTGGGAGCGCGCGCCCACCCACGCGCGCGCGTGCGGGGCTGAAAAGTGCGGAGGTCAGGGGGGGACCGGAGGCAAGGGAAGTGGGGGACAGCATGCAGGGGGACGGGCAGCGGACGGACGGACGGACGGACGCACGGGAGGACGAGGACGGCGCGGGGCCGAGCAGAGCACGGGGCATCTGCAGGGAAGACGGGGTGTGTGGAGGGGGGCCAGGACTGCAGGCGTCGGGCGGAAAAAGGCAATCTCGGGGGCACCCCGGGGCGCGGGGCAAAGGGGGTGAGGGCTGGTGTGTGTGCGTGTGTGGGTGGGTGGGGGGGGCCACGGGATAGGAAAAGGAAGCGGGGAGGGAGAGGACCAGGACGGGAGGACGCGGGCAGGGGCCACGGGGAACGCAGGAGGCAGAAGGTCCCCGAGGAGCGGGCGGGCACCCCGAATGTCACGGGGCTCGCGGGGAGTCGAGAGGGTGGGGGAGCGCCGCAGCCACGAGGCCCGGGCGGGGACACACGGGGTTGGTTGGGGGGGGCGTTCCCCCCCGGAGGGGGAACCCGGTCGGGGTCCAGCGGCCACCGGGGCGTGCGGACCCCGGCGGCCCGGCCCCAGCATCTGGAGGCGGCTCGGGCTGGGGGCGCGACCCCCCGGCGCCGCGCGCGCGCGCCCCGCGCCCGCCGGCCGCTCCGGCCCGAGCCCGCCGCGCCTCTCCGCCGCGTCCCCCGACCTGGACTGACCTGTTCCGGCGGGCTCGGGAGCCGCCGCCGCCGTCCCGCAGGCTCCGCAGGCTCCTCCGGCGGCTGCCAAAACTTTTCCCATTAATCCCCCGGCTCGGCGGCGGCGGCGGCGGCGTCACACGCTGCGCGGCCGCCCCGCCCCACCCGCGTGACGTCACCGCGCAGCCCGCGGGGGCGGGGCGTCCTCGGGCCACGCCCCCTTCCGCCCGCGCCGCCACCAATCCCCGCGCCTCCCGGAGCCGCTCCGGAGCCCGCCGCCCCGCCCACCGCACGCTGCCTTGTGTCCGCCTGCAGCGCCCCCTGGTGGGGGAAGCGGGCGCCGCCGCTGGAGGAGGACGGGAGGGAGCGCCCAGGGCCAGTCAAACGAGTCTGGCAAGCTTCGTGGAAGGGTATTTAAAGCTGGAAGGGAACTTAGAGGTCACCTAGTCCAACCTCGTCATCCTTCCAGAGAAGAAGCAGTTTCAGAGGCTGCTGCTGGGGCTGGAGAAGGTAATACAGCGGGTAGGGCGCTTGCCTTGCGCTTGGCCGGCCCAGGTTCGATTCTCAGGATCCCAGCCGGTCCCTTGTACACCGCCTGGAGTAATTCCTGAGTGCAGAGCCAGGAGTAACCCCTGAGCAGCGCCGAGTTTAGCCCAAAAACAAAAAGCAAGCACGCAAAAAAAGAAGCAGTGGTAAGACTACCACCCCAGGAACCTGCCAGTGACTTTAATAAAAGGCCTTTTCGGCTTCAAGAGGCTGATACAACTAGCAGTGTTTGGTCCTGGATTTCTTACATCTGATACGTTGACCCCCACTCCCTTTCTTGGTGGAGGGGCACACCTGGCTGTGGTCAAGGCTTACTCCTGGCTCTGCACTCAGGAATCACTCCTGATGGTGCTCTGGAGACCATATGGAGTGCCAGGGATGCAATCTGGGTCGGCCTTGTGCAAGGCAACACCCTATCTGCTGTACTATCGCTCTAGTCCCACGTTTGCCTTTTAAAAGGAAAGCTTTGGGGCTGGAGTGATAGCACAGCCGGTTGGGCGTTTACCTTGCACGCGGCTGACCCGGTTCGAGTCCCAGCATCCCATATGGTTCCCCCAAGCACCTCCAGGAGTAATTCCTGAGTGATTCAGCCAGGAATAACCCCTGTGCGTCGCTGAGTGTGACCCAAAAAGAACATAAATAAATAAAAATAGAAGGAAATAAAAGGAAAGCATCCTCCCTGAAGCTATGTAAAATTCCATTCTCACTTTCTTGTTGCCAGGGATTAAATCCAGGGCCTCACACATCAAGTCAAGTGCTCTGCCACTGAGTCACAACCCCAGATCACTTCATTTTCATTTAACTTTTTGGGAGGTGGGGGGTAGGGGGGAGAGTACACCTGGCAATGCTCAAGCTTACTCCTGGCTCTGCACTTAGGGATCACTCCTGCGGGGGCTCGGGGGACCATAAGTGGTGCTGAGGATGGAACCCAAGTTAGCTACATGCAAAGCAAATGCCCTATCCAATGGACTATTGCTCTGGCCCCTCACTTAACCTGTTTAAGATCTAGAAGGGCCCTGTTATTCCAGCCTACCCCTTAACTATATAAGAACCAGCGTGGTTGTTGGGGGAGGACTTGAAGAATCCCTGCACTGCAGGACTGAGCAGCACTGCAATCCTCCTGCCAGGAGCTTGGGGCTGACTCCTGGCTCTGAGCTCAGGGATCATTCATGGAGGTGCTCAGGGGACTGTGTGCGATGCCAGGGGTCCACCTGAGCCAGCTGAGTGCAAGGCAAAGCCTCTACCCACAGTTCTATCAATCTGGCCCCTTTCACTTTTTCAGTGAAGCAAGTTAGTCGTTACTGAATGAAACATTTAGAAAGATGTGTGGGAGCTAGAAAAAGGAAATACATGTTCAAGAGAGAAGTTGGGCTTCTCCAGAGTGGAAAAAACTAACAAAGAGACAAGTGGGGCTGGAGCGATAGCACAGCAGGTAGGGTGTTTGCCTTGCACGTGACTGACCCAGGTTCGATTCCCGGCATCCCATATGGTCTCCCAAACACCACCAGGAGTTATTCCTGAATGCAGAGCCAGGAGTAACCCCTGGTTATGATCCCTCCCCAAAAAAAGAGACAAGCAAGCAAGATATAAGTTCAAGGAAGAACACGGGCTGGAAGAGCAAGCTGATTTCCTATTTTACAAAATATTTTTATTTTGTGGGGCTGGCGGCATAGTAGAATGGTTAGGCAACTTGCCTTGCATGTAGCTGACCAGGGTTGATCCCCAGCACTCCATATGGCTCCCCGAGCCAGCCAGGAGTGACCCTTGAGCACAGAGCCAGGAGTCAGCCCTGAGCACTGCCGAGTGTAGCCCAAAAACCAAAAACTAATTTCATTCTAAGCTTTTTAAGGAGCAAGTTAACTCTGTGTGTGTGTGTGTGTGTGTGTGTGTGTGTTATGTATTTTGGTTTGTTTTCTTTTGAGGTCACACCCAGTGATGCTCAGTGGTTGCTCCTGGCTCTGTGCTCAGGAATTACTCCTGGCGGTGCTTAGGGAACCAGCTGGGGTGCTGGGAACTGAATCCAGGTTGGCCACATGCAATACAAGAGCCCTACCCACTACACTCTCTCCAGGCCCCATGTTGGCCAGTTTTTTGTATTTTTTTTTTCCTTTTTGGACCCTCCCCTGCCCCCCCCTCCCCAGCCATGCTCAGGGCCTACTCCTGGCTCTATACTCAGGGATCGCTTCTGGGCAGACTCAGAGAACCCCACTTGATGCTGGGGACTCAGACCTGAGTTAGTTGCATGTAAGACAAGTGCCTGGCCTACTGGATTATCTCTCTAGCCTGGGGAGTTATTTTTCTAAGCCTGACATTGAAGTCCTGGAAAGTTTCTTCATTTTCCCCTTTGTATTGTCTCTCAAGATTGGCGCTTCTTGCCCCCGTCCTGATGTGCCTTGCTTGGCGGCAGCTGAGCTCAGGGAAGCGTTTCCTTTCATGAACTCAGATCTCAGCTGTTCACACCTCCTTGTGTCCTGGCCTGTGCCCACTTCTAGGAGAGGAAACCGAGGTGCAAGTATTGGCTAGAACTCTCCCTAGCTTCCAGGCTCTATAATCAGGCCTCGCTCCCTCTTCCAGAAACAGGTTCTCTGTAATAATGGTCTTCCCTTGTTTGTTTTGTTTCGTTTTCTGGGGGACACACCAAGCAGTGTTCAGGGCTAACTCCTGGCTCTGCACTCAGAGATCATTCTGGAAATGCTCAGGAGGCCATAGGGGATCCCGGGGATGGAACCCAGATCAGCTGCATGCCAGGCAAGTGCCCTGGCTGTGGTGCTAGCTCTCCAACTGCTTGTCTTTTCTGTACCTGTCCTCCTCAAAGAACATGTAGCAATGGTGCAGGGCTAAAGAGGCACCTCCGAGGGTCACCTTTGAGACACTTCAGACACCTCTAAGCCCTGAATCTGATCCCAGCACTGCATGATCACTTGAGCACTACTGGGAGTGACCCCTGCCCACATCCAGACCAGAAAGAAAACAAACAAACAAACAAATCTATGCAGATCTTTGCACATCTTCAGGTGATCTATAATACTGTTTGATATTTTGTTAAAAACATAATAATTGTTGGGGCCGGAGAGATAGTACAGGGGGTAAGGCGTTTGCCTTGCACGCAGTCAACCCGCACTCCATCCCTGGCACCCCATGTGGTCCCCTGAGCCCTGCCAAGAGTAATCCCTGAGCACAGAGCCAGGAGTAAACTCTGAGCACAGCCAGGTATCAACCCAAAACAAAACAAAATTATGTGAAAGGTCTAGAATGACATGCTGAATTTAATGAACAGAGGTAAAGGTAAAGGTGAAGGCCCTCCCGTTGATCGTCGATTTGCTCGAGCGGGCCCAGTAACGTCTCCATTGGAGACTTTGTTGTTACTGTGTCTGGCATATCAAATACTCTCGGTAGCTTGCCGGGCTCTCCGAGGGGGCGGAGGAATCGAACTCGGGTCGGCCATGTTGGCCGCTTGTAAGGCGAACGCCCTACCCGCTGTGCTATCGCTCCAGCCCAATGAACAGAAGTGCAAAAAAAAAAAAAAAAAAAAAAAAAAGAGCTCATAGGGCCGGAGATAGTACAACTGGTAAGGTGCTTTCCTTGCATGCAGCCAATCCCTGGCATTTTAAATGGCCCCCTGTGCACTGCCAGGAGTGAGCACAGAGCCAAGAGTAAGTTCTGAGCAAAGCCTAAGACCCAAGCCCAAAATAAACAAAAATAAAGTAGATTGAGTAAGACTTAAATCCCACAGACTTAAATCTTAAAAACCTTAAAAATGCAATTTTTTTTCTTGCTTTTTTTGGGTCACACCTGGGCATTGCACAGGGGTTACTTCTGACTCTGCACTCAGGAATTACTCCTGGCGGTGCTCAGGGGACCATATGGGATGCTGGGAATCAAACCTGGATCGGCCGCATGCAAGGCAAACGCCCTACCTGCTGTGCTATCTCTCAAGCCCCCAAAATGCAAATTCTTTAGAAATCACAAACGTAACTGCATCTTTAGATACATTTTCCCCCATAAGTTTTGAACCACACCCAGAGTTTCTTGGGGACCAAGTGGTTCTGGGATGGAATCTGTATTTCCAGTCTTGCAAACCTCCTCCTGCTCCTAGCTGGTATCTTTTCCTCCTCTATTTGTATTTTCATTGCACTTTCCCCTCAAAATTGAATTGCCATAGAATATATTTTCATGCTTGAAATTCTATTGATTTCAAGTCTCATAGTACTTCTTTGCAACCAAAATACATACATAAATTGAAACTAAGAAACACTGTTTTTCCTTTCTTTGGAGGGTTGGTTGGACCACATCTGGCAAGGCAGAGGTTTTACTCCTGGCTCTGCACTCAGGAATTACTTCTGGTGGTGTTCACGGGACCATATGGGATGCTGGGGATCAAACCTGGGTTAATCACGTGCAAGTTAAATCCCTTATGCACTGTACTATCACTCCCACCCAATGCTAGGGTAAAAACATTTTATTTGGGACCACACCTGGCAGTGCTCAAGGCTTACTCTTGGCTCTGTGCTCAGGGATCACTCTCGGCAGGCATAAGGGAACCATATGGAGTGCCTGGGATTGAACCCGCGTTGTTCAGAAGTGCAAAGCAAGCACCAT